GAGAGAGAGAGAGAGAGAGAGAGAGAGAGAGAGAGAGAGAGAGAGAGCGCAGGCCCCAGTGGAGACAGGGCAAGGGTGTTAGAGTTACTGGAACTGAATTTAGAATGGCTGTGAGCTACCAGACACAAGTACTGGGAACTAAACTCCTTCCTCTGCAAAAAGCAGTGCAAACTCTCAACCACTGAACAATCTCTCCAGATCCCGATTTGTTTATTTTTGAGACATGATCTTGCTATTCAGCCCCAAGTAGCCTGGAACTCTAGACCAGGCTGGTCTCAAGCTTGCAATCCTCCTGCCTTAGCCTTTCAAGTGTGGGCTAGGATTACAGGCTTGTGGCATCACTTCTAAGTTCATGTTTTATTTATTTTTAATTAATTAATCAAATCTTTTAAATTTTTATTTATTTTGCTTTTTTTTTTAAAAAATAAAAAAAAAAGACAGGGTATCTTTGCATAGTCCTGACTGTCCTGGAACTTGATCTGTAGATCAGGCTGGCCTCAAACTCAGAGATCCGCCTCCCTCTGCCTCCCAAGTGCTGGGATTAAAGGCATGCACCACCACTGCCCAGCCACCATTGATTTTTTTTTTCTAAGTGTCACAGAGAAAGGATTTGGAATATAGCTCAGAGGTAGAGTACCTAGCATGAGAGAGGCTCTGGGTTTGAACCTCAGCACTGAGAAAAAAGTCACCTGTCCTAGGCCATCAGATGTCATGTAGCTCCTTATACTTCTTTATCTCTTTGTTTTTGTCTTTATTAGGTTTTTCTCACTGGATCTCGGAGTATCCAGGCCCCCTCCACCATGGCCACCCGGGGTGGGGGCCGGGGTCGTGGCCGAGGCCAGTTGACCTTCAACATGGAGGCTGTGGGCATTGGGAAGGGCGATGCCTTGCCCCCACCCACTCTGCAGCCTTCTCCACTCTTCCCTGTGAGTTTCTTCCTCCCTTTCCCAAGACTCCCATGTGCCCCTCATTGACTACATGTGACCACGGAATCCTCCTGGCCCATCATAAGCCCTCATTGTGACCCTGTGTCTCCAGAGTCCCAACCCACAGAAGACGGTACCAGGCAAATAAGTGTTTGTTTTTTCTCTTCATATTCCTCAGTCCCCAGCTTTCAAAAGGTGCTGCATTGGCCTCCCATTCCTCTGGCCCTCTGTTTACTGGGAACAATGGATTCAATTTAGGGGAAAGGCCCTTTAAGGTGTTTATTGTGGCCTTCCGTCCTAGGCTAACCATTGTGTCTCCTCAGCCCCTGGAGTTCCACCCTGTGCCTCTGCCCCCGGGAGAGGAAGGGGAGTACGTTCTGGCACTGAAGCAAGAGCTGCGTGGGGCCATGAGGCAGCTCCCATACTTCATCCGGCCAGCTGTGCCCAGAAGAGGTCAGTGGGAAGGCTGGCATCGTGTTTGGAGACATCTGTAGGCAGTGCCCATGCCCGGCACCCTTGGGGACCAGCGAGACTCAGGAAGTTTACTATGTAATGGAGAAGTTTACTATTTACATTAAAAGTCCCCTCTGTGTCTGAAACGTACCACCGTACTCAGATTTGAGTTGAACCTAAAATCTGGTGGCTGTTAGGACATTGAAGCATTAACATCTTACTTCATATGTATAAGTGGGTGGGGGTGGGGTGGGAGTACAAACTTTAATCCAACTCAACAGACTCTTAACTAACTAGAAGGTCTCTGAGACTAGGTCTCTGAATACCCTCCCTATGCCAAGCGTTTCCCCTTCCTTAGGAGAATAGGAGACTGGAGAAGGCAGGGCTACTGCTGGGCTTGGCATAGCAGCTATTTACCCGTGGTGAGGAAGGACAGTATTTTAACATGGGCAACTAATGCTTTTATACTGAGGCCTTGAGGGTTGTGGGCTCACAGAGATGGGAGACTTAACCAAGCTAACCCCAGTAGTAAGAAGAAGAGAGAAGATTGAACCTTGGATTTTATCCTGGTGTATATTGACCAATGAAGACAGAAGAGAGAATCTTTGGACTAAGGGCAAAGAGTAACAAAAAAAAGGCAGGTTGGAAGAGGGACAAGGTCTTCACCGAAGTGACACCATTGGGCTCTGGGCTTGGAGTGAGGTGATCAATAATTCCCTAGAACTAAGAGGGACTGACCCTTAGGAAAAAATGTATTCTGTGTATAAAACTCTGACTCATGACCTCTGACCCCTCAGATGTGGAACGTTACTCAGACAAGTATCAGATGTCTGGGCCGATTGACAATGCCATCGATTGGAACCCTGGTAGGTGACTGGCCCTCACTGGATGTCCTCCTTCAGAGGTGCCTTGAACCACCACGTCCCTTTCCTGTGCAGCATCTAGAAACTAGAATCTTAGATGTGCTCTCAACACTCTTTGGTTCTACTTGAAAAACCACAGTGCCACCTCTCCAGACAAACTTCCCTGCCCTTTTGTACCAGTCACCATTCATGGACCCCAGACAGGGTCCTGCTGACGACCTTCACACTCTCACTGTTCCCAGATTGGCGGCGTCTGCCCCGGGAGCTCAAGATTCGAGTTAGAAAACTACAGAAGGGACGTAAGTGAACCTGGAGAGGATGAGGGTTCATCAGCGGATGCCACAGCCGCCACGTGAGGGCAGCAGAGCCGCATTTTGCTGCCGGAGGGTGCCCTGGAGAGATGGGTGGAGGGGAGATGGCCCCGCCGATAATGCCGATAATGCCGCCTGTCGTCAGTCGCTAGAAACCACATGGTGGGAAGAAGAGCCTACTCTACCTTCCACATGTTGCACATACATGCGCGCGCACACAAATAACAAAATATTTTGTAAAAAATAAAAAGCAAAAGCACCAGAGAAACCTTAAGAGCATGCACTGCTTCCACTCACACCAGGGGCTCACAGTTGCCTCTAACTCCAGCTGTGGAGGTCCAGTGCCCTCCCCAGGCACACATGTCATTCACATTACACATACATGCGCACACACACACACACACACACACACACACACATTTAAAAACTGGAAAGAAAGCTAGTTAGGAGATGTACTTCCTAAGGGTTCACTTCTTGATCCTCCAACAGGGACCACCATTGTCCTCCCCAAGAGGCCCCCTAAGAGCACGGAGGAGAAGGAGGAGACAATACAGAAGCTAGAGGTGAGGAGGACGTGTGCTAGGCGGCTGGACTCCGGGTCCCTCGGTGCCCCGGGTCTCCCTGTGTGAGCTGACTGTGAGCGTCTCTTCCTGTTCATCTTCACATGAGACTCTGGAGAAGAAGGAGGCAGAAATGACTTCAGAGGAGGACGAAGAGAAAGAAGAAGAAGAGAAGGAAGAGGGGGAGGAAGAGGAGTATGATGAGGAAGAGCATGAGGAGGTGAGGGGACTCTTCTGCCCCTCCCTCTCCCCTCACACCCCCTCCACTCCCCTCCCAAACTCTGGGCTCTCAACTCACTCTCTCTTTTTTAAAAGGTTTATTTTATTGTTTGTTTGTTTTTATGGTCAAGAAAATTAGCGAACACTATATGAATGTGCATGTCATCCTTGAGCAGGGGCCATGCTAATCTTCTCTGCGTCATCCTAATTTTAGTACATGTGCTGCCGAAACAAACACATTTGTTCGGGTTTTGTTTTTGAGACAGGGTCTCACTGTGTAAGCTAGGCTGGCCTGGAACTCCCCAGAAATCCTCCTACTTCTACTTCCTAGTGTTGGGATCACAGGAGTACACCACCAGGCTTATCACACAAGAGAGTTTTTGATTATTTGTGTGTGTGTGTGTGTGTATGTGTTGTCAAATGTATGGAGGTCAGAAGACAACTTGTGGGAGCTGGTTCTCTTCTTTCTACCGTGTGGGTTCTGGTTATTGAACTGACGTTCTCCAGCTTGGCAGAAAAGTTCCTTTTCTACAGAGCCATCCCACTGACCCTGGACTCTCACTCCTACACAGGAGATGTTCTCAGAGAGTCTCAGCGCCTGTAGTGACAATGCCACCAAGGCTCCATTTTATCTGCCTCTGGCCTATTCTCAAAGCACATAACATGGTGGGTGAGAGGGCTCAGAGGGCAAAGGTGCTTGCTGCCAAACCTGATGACCTGAGTTCAATCCCCGGAACCCACTATGTGAAGGACAGATCTGATTCCTACAAGAGTCCTCTGACCTCCACACGTGTACCAGAGCATACACACACACACACACACACACACACCCATACATACACATATGCGTGCATCCATATACACATAGTCACAAACACAAATAAATAAATATAATGTATTTATATTTATTTATATATTATAAATAAATATAAATAAATAAATAAATAAAAATGTGTGGCACGGGGTTGGAGTGATGGCTCAGTGGTTAAGGGCATTTGTTTCCTGTCCAGAAGACTCAAGCTCCATTCCCGGTACCCACATGGTAGCTCACATCCACCTGCAACTCAAATTCCAGAGCATTTGATGCCATGTTCTGGCATCTAAGGGCTCCAGGCATGCAAACAGCATACAGACATAGGTGCCAACAAAATACACATAAAAAATAACAGCTGGTAGGGGTGTCC